TATAAAACTATCAATTTTTGCTAAGTAGTGGTACTCAAAACACGACATATACAAAACACGACACATAAAATATTATAAAAAAAAATAACCCGTTAATAACCCAAAAAATATATATATAACATTTGCAAACACGAATATTGATGCAAAACTCAACATTGCATAAAAATTCATTTTTTGCATATTAGGATGCACGGATGTTGCTAAAAAATTATACAGCACTTCATCAGCACCCAAACAATGCTATGTAAAAATTTCAGATCGATTGGTTTATCCCTGCATGAGTTATCGCAGTTAGAGTAAAACATCGAAAATTAGCAATATCGAATATAAACGACTTTCTTTGCTCAGCATCAAATATTTATAGGTTTATGGGTTGATGAAGAGAATCCGGTAATGAATACTTTTTTACCTGCAGTAATTAATCAAATGAATAACTTATCATCAGTTTGAGTAGATTGGATACTGAATGAAAAGAAAATAAATTCAAAAATTTTTCCAGTTGGCTGTTTCGTAGATTCACCCTGTAAATGCAGTATGCTAAATATGAAGCAGTATAACGGATCATACGGATGTACGTTTTATTACCATCCAACGGAAAATGTTGATGGGGTCAGAAAATACCCTATTCAAGGTAAACATTATCCTTTACGATCTCACGAAAACATTATAAATGATATGCAAGCTACTGTGAAGAAAAATGAGAAAACTGGAAGTACAGAAATAGTAGAGGTAAAAGGAGTGAAAGGACCATCATGTTTAATGAATTTAAAATATTTTAATTTGGCCAATGGGATCACTCCTGAAAGTATGCACAGTATTTTTTTGGGAGTTATTAAGCAATACACGGAAATTATTCTTTCATCGAGTGGTAAAGATTACCATGTTGGAAGTCCAAGCAAATTGCAATTAATAAATGAGAGATTACTATCTATTCGGCCTCCAAAGTGTATAAGTAGAACACCTTGCTCGTTAAAGGTGCGCAGTCTATGGAAGGCGTCAGAGTGGCGTTCTTGGTTACTATATTGTTGTTTGATTTCCTTAAATGGAGTACTACAAGATAAATATTTACTACATTTATCGAAATGAGTTTGTGGAATAGAAATTTTATTACGAAGTTCTATTTCTCAAAAAGACTTAGAGCGTTCTAACCGATTTTCGATTGAATTCGTTTCGGACATAGAAGAAAATTTCGGTCCTAAACATATGACTTATAATGTACATTTATTATTACATATTACAAAAAACGTTCAAAATTTAGGCCCTCTGTACGTTCATGACGCTTTTTCTTTTGAGAATCAAAATCGTTTGATATTGAATTTGAAAAAATGTTGTTTATTGAAAATTTTGAAAATTCTGTCAAAGAGCACGTTATTGTCGGCTCGTCTATTTGTATTGGCATAGGAAAAAAATATATTTTCAACTTGCAAGAAAAAAATGCTTGTTGGGAAAATGATGAAAATTGTAAAAACTATGAAAAACTAATCCACAAAAAACGTAGGTACACAACGATGAAGTATTGTGAGAAATTGAAAATTAATGTACGATTATTGAACTAAACAATGGAATGAAAGGAATTATAACAAATATTTGTACATTCGGCGATTATGAAGCGGGAATCATCTTGTTTTATCACCCAATATATATAAAAAGTAATTGATATACGCCAACGGCACGAGACTCCTGCGTGCGTATCCCCACTCCGCCACTTAGCCGCTGCCGGCTCGCGCGCCGACCGGCCAGTGGTATAAAAGACAGCGCCGATTCGATTCGGCTCGCAGTTCCACTCCTGGACTTTCCGAAGTCGGATCTCGCTCGCCCACGAGAGCTTGGCCTAGGAAACGTTAATAAACCCGAGTTGTACAAAAATACTCGATCTTATTATTTCTCGCTCCTCTCCAAGCCTCTTTCCCACTTCTTGCGCTGAGAAGCTTCACTAGCGACCGCTAGGTGGCGCAGCGCCGGTACCCACAAGCTACTTATCCCCGCCAGGGCTTAAGTACCGGCCACTTCGAGCCTCGATCTTTCAAATTCAGCGAGTGCAGCCTGGACCTTCCGGCCGCAACTGGCCAGCAAGGCCAAGTCAGATTCATCGCAGATTCATCACCGCAGCCAAGACTACGAGCTCGACGGGATTTCCAACCTTCTGTTGCAGAGTTGACTCCGGAACAACATCGGATCTCGGTTACAACTCGATCCACATCACTCACCAACTAAACAATTTGGAACTTGTACACGCCAACTCGGCCCCGGTCCTTTTCAGGACCACCTCACGTAGGATTTCGAAAGACCTCGAACTTTTGCTAACCGACTTGTCAATTGCAGAGTGCGAACTCTGCAATTCTTTTCGGTTTCCAGCCTTCTCAGGGCTACTGTTCGAAAGCAAACGAACTTTTGTAAAAGTTCGATTCAAACCGTCTTAGCAGTGGCAGAGTGTAAACTCTTAAACTCCTTTCGGTTTCAGGCTCTTTCAGTGCTACTATTCGAAAGGTCATCGGACATTAATAAAATTCGACGTTCTCACTTAACATAATATTCCGAACATGCCAGAAGTATCACATATGCGAGAATGTCATATCGATTACGATACTGTATATTCCTGTAAACCTACAAATCTGAAGAATCAATGCATTTTGGTAAAAATAAAATCAAGACTTGCTTGAATTAAAAGCATTTTCCAGTGCTTTTTCACGTGCCTGTGCCTCTTAACGCCTGATCAAACGTAAGTTTTTCCAATTTGAAAAAAAAGCTATCCACCTTTCTTTGTATCTAATGCGATACATACATTGATTTCTGCATGAGATTGCTAGGTCTTTGAAGTTGCAGTGCATTGATTACTTTTTAAATCACGTTGCAAATTCGGATACATATATCTCTGTGTTCCAACACTTCTGCCTTTTCTCGCAAGCATTAATAATTAATCAGAAAATTCAAACTCGCATATATTCCAACTTTTACACATGAAATGGAAACGATCGTTAGGCAGTGGCTTGGTAAGAAAGTCTGCTTTTCGAATTTCAGATTTTACATACTTAACCGTGATTTCTCCGTTTTCATTTTTCTTGCAATGAAAATGGTACCTAACATCTATGTGTTTTTTTCTTTTATGTGATTCTGCATTTTTTTAGAATTTAATTGCACTCTGATTACACAGGCACACAAAAAAAAAATGCTCAGTCCCAGAGACCGGACCCAGTAGACTTTATGTTTTTGGGGTCGCTGAATCCGAATCCGTCGTCGGTTTTTCGCCATCAGATCGATTTAAGGTCATTTGAAGGTCATTCAAAGGTAAAATCATGTAAAATAGGTTTTAAAATCTGAAACTATTCCTACATAGGTTTTTGAGGATGCTGAATTCAAATCTGAAGTCAGATGACCTCTACGACCTTACCTTCAAGGTCATTTGAAGGTCAAACTTAGAAAATGCGATATAAAAATCCGAAAAATATATTTTTTTATGTTTTGAGAGTCGCTGAATTCAAATTCAAGGTCATTTTGACTCAATGTTAACATCTAAAGGTCATTTAGAGATCATTCGAAGGTCAAATCATAAAAAACAGGTTAAAAAATTGGAAAAAAACTCCTATATGGGTTTTTGAGGATGCTGAATTCAAATCTAAAGTCAGATGACCTCTCAGACCTCACCTTCGAGGTCATTTGAAGGTCAAATATAATGAATTCGATATAAAAGTCCGAAAAACATATTTTTTATGTTTCAAGGGTCGGTGAATTTGAATCAAAGTTCATTACCACTATACTGACTAATTTTAAGCTTATTTCAAGATTAAATCTAGTGAAAACGACAAAGTATCGAAAAAAGATTGTGTATAGGTTTTTTGAGCTAAGTAATTCAGCTTTTTGATTGAGTAACCAGTAAAAAGTTAAGATCAATGTCATTTCAAGGTTAAATTAATGAAAAGAGGGCAAAACTTGATGAAATATTGTTAATTTCGTATGCCTTTTTACTTTTTTCATTTGTAACGCCCCTTTTTTTCTTCAAACGATCGGCGTAAAGGTTGCCGTTTGCGTTTAGTTCCTCTACGTTGGCTCCCTCTCTTCAACATCCAGCAGTAATCAGCCATCATTGCCACATCCCATCTACCTTGATATCGCTGCTCCATATGTTTGATGTCATGATGGAATCGTTCTCCCTGCTCGTTGCTAAAATCACCACAGTTTTTCGGGAACTCATCTGAATGGTTATGCAAGAAATGCAGTTTGTAAGACATATTATATTCCATTTCACCGAAATTGTTTATCATTGTTGATATTAAAACTTTGTAATCATCGCTTCTGCGATTACCTAGAAAATTTTCCACAACATTTTTGAAGCTATGCCATGCAGCTTTCTGAACCTCAGTCATCTTAGTTGGAAAATTGTCATCTTTCAGCATTTTTCTTATTTCTGGTCCATCGAATATTCCTTCTTTTAATTTGGCATCAGATTTAAAGGAAAATTTAGATTCTAAATATTTGTAACGATTCATCACTCTCACTCAAAGCTTTTACAAATTGTTTCATAATGTCCAATTTAATATGTAAAGGAGGTAGTAAAACTTTTCTAGGGTCTACTAACGAACTGTTAATAACATTATGATGTCCAGATTCTAAAGAATTTCTCTCAGTCCACTTGTGGTCGGTGTAATGGTTTTTACGATCTCTGCTGTCCCACAAGCACTTGAAACATGGGTACTTTGTAAATCCAGATTGCTGTCCCATCAGCATACCAAAAACTTTCAAGCCCTTATTGCAATAATGTTGAAGGTCTAATGACAGAAATTAAATGTAATAATTATAAAACCGACGAATGGAGACTTTTTATTGATTCTTCAAAAAGGAGCTTAAAAGCTGTATTGTTGCATAATACTAATAAGTTTGCGTCTATTCCTATTGCTCACAGTACAACTATGAAAGAAACATATGGAAGTATGAAGATACTATTAGAGAGCATCAACTACCAAGAAAATAAATGGCTAATATGTGGGGACTTGAAAGTTTTAGGTATGCTGATGGGACAGCAATCTGGATTTACAAAGTACCCATGTTTCAAGTGCTTGTGGGACAGCAGAGATCGTAAAAACCATTACACCGACCACAAGTGGACTGAGAGAAATTCTTTAGAAGCTGGACATCATAATGTTATTAACAGTCCATTAGTAGACCCTAAAAAAGTTTTACTACCTCCTTTACATATTAAATTGGGCATTATGAAACAATTTGTAAAAGCTTTGAGCGAGAGCGATGAATGTTACAAATATTTAGAATCTAAATTTTCCTATAAATCTGATGCCAAATTAAAAGAAGGAATATTCGATGGACCAGAAATAAGAAAAATGCTGAAAGATGACAATTTTCCAACTAAGATGACTGAGGTTCAGAAAGCTGCATGGCATAGCTTCAAAAATGTTGTGGAAAATTTTCTAGGTAATCGCAGAAGCGATGATTACAAAGTTTTAATATCAACAATGATAAACAATTTCGGTGAAATGAAATGTAATATGTCTTACAAACTGCATTTCTTGCATAACCATTCAGATGAGTTCCCGAAAAACTGCGGTGATTTTAGCGACGAACAAGGAGAACGATTCCATCAAGATATTAAACATATGGAGCAGCGATATCAAGGTAGATGGGATGTTGCAATGATGGCTGATTACTGCTGGATGTTGAAGAGAGAGAGCCAACGTAGAGGAACTAAACGCAAACGGCAACCTTTACGCCGATCGTTTGAAGAAAAAAAGGTGCGTTATAAAAGAAAAAGGTAAACAGGCATGCAAAATTAACAATATTTTATCAAGTTTTGCCCTCTTTTCATTAATTCAATCTTGAAATAAGCTTAAAATTAGTCAGTATAGTGGAAATGAACTTTGATTCAAATTCACCGACCCTTGAAACATAAAAAATATGTTTTTCGGACTTTTATATCGAATTTATTATGTTTGACCTTCAAATGACCTCGAAGGTGAGGTCTGAGAGGTCATCTGACTTTAGATTTGAATTCAGCATCCTCAAAAACCCATATAGGAGTTTTTTTCCAATTTTTTAACCTGTTTTTTATGATTTGACCTTCAAATGACCTCTAAATGACCTTTAGATGTCAACATTGAGTCAAAATGACCTTGAATTTGAATTCAGCGACTCTCAAAACATAAAAAAATATATTTTTCGGATTTTTATATCGCATTTTCTAAGTTTGACCTTCAAATGACCTTGAAGGTAAGGTCGTAGAGGTCATCTGACTTCAGATTTGAATTCAGCATCCTCAAAAACCTATGTAGGAATAGTTTCAGATTTTAAAACCTATTTTACATGATTTGACCTTTGAATGACCTTCAAATGACCTTAAATCGATCTGATGGCGAACAACCGACGACGGATTCGGATTCAGCGACCCCAAAAACATAAAGTCTACTGGGTCCGGTTTCTGGGACTGAGCATTTTTTTTTTGTGTGCCTGTGTTATCCATCAATAAAGGAATCGACGAATTACATGAATTTATGATATCGAATAAAAGTCTTCTCAACCAGATTTTGCAGCCGTGGCTGCGGCTATATACTCAGCTTCTGTCGAGCTTAATGTGACTAATTTTGGTCACAGAGATGACCAAGTAACAGTTTCATGACATAGAGTAAATACGCAACCCGACACTGATCGTATCATTCCGACGTCGTTTGCATAATCGTCGTCAGAATACCCGATTGAACCTGTTGCCATATTTTGTCCGATATATTTAATGCCATATTCGACAGTTCCAACGAGATAAGCCAGCTTGTTCTTTACAGCACTTCAATGTTGCATGTGATGCTTGTTCAAAAATTTATTGACGTTACTTGTAGCCAACGCTACATCTGGACGCGAAATAATTACTAGATAAGTCAGCGACTTGACTAGTTCGCGGTATCGGACATTGTCTCAGTGCTGCGCACCAACTTCCAATGGGTTGGTTACTTGTTTCCTTCTTGGCTGAGTGACAGGAAGGACAGTCGTTCTGCCGTACTCCTTGTACAGGAGCTTCCGTGGTTATTGGGCTCAGAGTCTCTCAGGCCAATAATTTAATATTCAATAATATCGGAAAAAAGGAAAAAGAAACAAATAATTTTAAATATACTCACTTTATTTTCTCGTATAAACTAATTTCCTTTATTTTGTGGTATGTGCGATTTTCTTATTAGCTGGTTCAAGCTTATTATAAAATTTAGAAGAAGACCTCCATTCGTGAACTATTATAACAATGTTAACAAAAACGTTATTTGATAATCTGTTGCAAAGGTGCAAAAACTTTATTTAATCGCGAGTCAAGGTGTCGTCGATCGTCGCGTCTGCCGTTGACCGGGTATTCGGGTACTCTCTGAGGCCGTGTATAATGTTTATTTAATACGAATAAACCTGGTAGTTGTTATTGTTAATATGGAGTGTTTGATTCCTGACGAATGTGTGAGTGTAAAGAGCTTCCCTCCCCGTATTGCATGAATCTTACAGGTAGACCCCGGACGTGCAGAACGGATCCACAAACGCAAAGGACACACGTAACCGACGAGGTGCATCGGGGTAAGATACGAGGTTACAAACGATCGTACCAACAACGACGATTTCGTACTCGTGATCGTCACCCAACGAGACTGTGCTGCCATCCTTTCATGGACGATGTCCAGCAAACCACTCACGTCGCGATGTCATGTGCTCTGATGCGCCACTATCGGTCAGCCAGTTATCTTTGATTTCGGCAGCCAGAATCTGCTTTGTCTCGTTGGACATTTGAGTACTTGATGATCCACGGTTTTCGTTAATTAAGACAACCAAAGTGACATTGCCTTCGTCGTTGCTCGTGACACTTTTGCTGGAATCTTTCTGTATTCCTGCCATAATGGCCTTTTTTGTTGCACGAAAAACACTTCAAGTTCTTGAGCGATGTGCGTAGCGAACGAGTCCGTCAAACTCATGCGATACTCGTGGAATCTTTGAGTGAGCAGGAGTTTGGGGGTCGACGAGCATTGTGCATGTTGTAACCGTTCGCCCTCGGGACGCGAGCAAATGGTTCAGCGAGATCTTTATGTTCTGTAAAAGAAGGAGAAAAGTCTGGGTGTCGAAAGAATCCACTCGATCATGTATAACAGTAACAATAACAATGAGGCTGAATTTATTGTAGGAAAGGGCGCCAGTCACGAATGTGACGCCTGAATATATTGTACATTAAATGAATCGACGAATTACAAGTAAAGGGTTTCGAACACGCGTTTGACATAGAATATCCTTTCGTTACAATACGCACACAAGATTAGGCCACCGCGGCTAGACACGGCAGAAACGGCGGTCGTGAGTTTAGGCTAAGCGGGGACGACGTCGAGAGAGATCGAGCTTACACAATAACGAAATATATGGCGCATGCACGCGAGAGAGATGTAGGCGACTTACATTTGCTGACGCTGATTGTTGGGCAGGTAATGCAGGCCAAATTGACTGCAGAAGAAGCGAGAGCAGACGAGAGGAAAGCCAGGCGACACAGATCCACAACAGGTAGCTCGTACGCACACACGCAACCGAACTCGACGCAGAACCACAGTAGAAGCGTCGCTGAGCATGGACCAGCACAGAGTGCTCGCACAGTCTCTCACACGTTGGCCCGTCAGTAAATCAAGCTTCCCTTCTGTGACAGCTTTTCGTCTGCTCTCCTGAGCAGGCGCGCGGATCTTACACACGGGTCGCGTCTCTCGCTACGGATTCGGCGCTCTTGTAAACGGCGCCGACCCAAGCTTCATATCAGGCTCGCAATACTCGAATTTCTGTCTCTCGACACGGGTCTAGGATAAGGGTAAAAGGAAGGAGTACCGCCGGACCCTGTACTGGCTGTCTACTTCCTTACAATGTGTCGCCTTTAGCTTCGTCCACATATCTTTTGATGTTTCACAGATCAAAATATGTCTCACTTGCTCTGGCTCCATCTCTGAGGATATCAAAAACTTGGCCTTTGTATCGTCTTCAAGCCAACTTTTTAGCTCGACTCCAGCTTGGGCGGGTCTCACCTTCATACCACCGACAATATCCTCTATGCCTTGAGCAATGAACATATTTTCAAGCTGCAATTCCCACATTTGGAAATTGGTTGCGTTCAGCTTCTCGATATGCCGAGTTGAAATTTCTCTCGCCATCTTGACTACTGTTAACCTACGATCGCAACACAGTAACGAAGTTTCACTACACTATCTTTTTCTCGTTCATCAAACAATCTTTCACTTTTCACGCGTATCTGGGACCATAATCTGATAACACAGTTAGTTGAAAAGTAAATGTTTATTGAAAAAAAATCAGATTAGATACAAAAGTAGGTATAATGATAGGTGCACAGTAGGGTGGAGCGAAATGATCGAAAATTTTTAAATCGCTTTCTAATACCGTTCAAAGTTAATCTTTTGCACAAATAAAACAACAAACGTTGAGTAGATGTTAACGAATGATTTTTTCTACTGCAACTTGATCGTCAAACCCAGTTTTTTTGTCTGTCTTCGTCTTCTTGATTCAAAATCGAACTTTAAGTTAAATAAACGAAATAAAAGATAGCGGGCACTCATAAATTTATTCTACCTTTTACAAAATATATGGGTCAAAATAATACTTTTTAAATTTTCGTCCGCACATATGTCACCGAACTTGACGCGTTTTTGGTATGTTATAGTACATGATAAAAATGTGCCAAAACCAAAATTTTGGACCCCCTCCCCCCTCCTTCTTCCCTCTTCCCCTATAAACGTCGAATTTCTATCTATATTTTTTCTGAAGGCTTTGTTATATCTCAAGGATATAACGTAACGTATGCATCAATAAGCTCAAACTGCAAGCACAAGGCTAGCCAAGAAAGTATAATACTGCGCGAAGCACACTATACACAGTATAGGCTGCCCGTGAAGTATATATATGGGTAGATGACAAAAAATTGGCACTATTTTCGGTTAGTTCTTAGCTCATACCGAAAATTTTTTAATTAAATTCTACATAGGTGTTAATCACAGCTTTTGAGGTAAGAAATTGGAAACCACGTGCAAAAAAATCAAAATATGAAATTGGAAGGAACCATAGTCATTTGAGTAAAAATCATATATCACGGTACTCACCGATTTTTTTATCAATTCTAATAATTGGTAATAAATTAAATAATTTAATTTTTCACAATATTAATCTTTTATTTACAAAAATAAAATTTATTTAATTCATTAATAATTCACACCTTTAACAATAAAATAAAAATATGGTTTTTTCATTTATTACATAATAATTTAAAGAGTGACGCGCTTTCGCGTACAAATCTTCGTGGATAGTTTGTAGTTTATAGTTTATAACTTATAGTTAACTTTTTGGCTCTCGAGCTTTTTCGACAATTACTCGTTGAAGATGTGCACTCCTCCACCACTTGAAGAACATTTTCAAGAGTACATGACTTAGGATTAGTTATTTTCGAATTGAAATTAATTTTTTTATCTAGAACCTCGATTGATTTTATTTTTGGTTTACTGGGATTTTTTTCAGGAAATTTATTTTTATAATCTAACGATCCCAGTGAAAAGTGAATACAGCCATTTTTATGACTGCACTCAAAATAACTTAAAAAATTGATCTTTAAAATATTCAAATTCTTATTTGACCAAGTATACTGATGAACTTTCATAGTTCCTGAAAAAGTCGGTAAATCTTGGGGCAGAATTTTTTCCAGAGTCTCAATACTTTCTTTAGATACTTAAAAAATATCTATTGTCTTTGACGCTTGTTTTAAATAATCAAATAATGTTTGAAAATTATCTAAATCTTTTCCATATAAAACAGCGTTATCTGCTAATCTTTTTAGCGATCCTCCAATGCCGTCGGCGGCACTTTTACCGTGTCCCGACTCAGAAAAATTATACGTAATATTTTTGATGGAAGGAAATATTGTAGGCACATGCTGCGTAATTAAATAAAACATATTTTTATTACGGTATTGTGTTGTTGGCCCGTCACTCATGAAATGAATATTTTTCACCGATGCTAAAATTGTCGTTGAATAGAACTCAATTATATTTTCCAAATGAGCCATTATTGCTGTAGCATTGTGTTTTAAGCTTTCAGATAAAGACACAAAACCTTGCGAACGTTTTTTTGTGTGTATTACACCAGTTAGCAGTGTAACTTGCGTTTGGCTTGCCCCAAAATGAACCGCTTGGACTTCGGTTGAATATTGTAACGATGTTACGGGCGACGAGCGCGAGCCGTTACTTAAGAATGCCGTGTGTATGCGTGTGACGCGCGACCGACCAACTGACCGTGCAGGGTGAAGGAAGAGCCGAGCGATTATAACCTCCGTGCGCCGCGGTAGCGTAGGCACGTGCTCGACGGTTACCGACCGAACGAGTGGCTCGGCGACGAGCCGCAAAGCAGCAGCGGCAGCAGCACGGAAGACGAAGCGAGGAAGAAGAAGGCACGTGAAGCGACGCCATTACGACTACGACTGCGTATCGTGCGAGTGTGAACGACAAAAGTCCGAGGCTATAAAAGCGAGTTTCGAGTGCAGCAAAGAAGTCGGAAAACGATTGATCGTCGCGTAGCGTGGTAGAGAAAGAGAGAACGAGAGTGAAGACGTGACGAGAGAGAAGCTGT